TATTTCCACCATCAACTTCAACATCTTCAACTCTATCTTCAAAAACATCAGTAACTCTTTCTTCACAAACACCATTATCTTCAACACCATTTCTAATATCTTCATTAACTTCTTCATTACCAACACCACCGCTTATAACTTCATCACAAATATCACCATCAATATCACCATTCTGGGTTCGTACGCTGGGCCCATAACCTGTTCGAGGAGTGTGCCTCTCTACACAACTCCTGGGAGGTTATTCAATCATAATAACGCCACTTCAATACTTCACACACACTTTATTATTAAAACAATATCAAAATCTATTACATATTAAATATTAAACCATTTACAACTGACTCTATCGAAATTCAATAATACAATGATACAATGTCACATTTTCTTGCTTGTCTACACCTGTCATTATTTTCAAACTTTATTCTAATGCTGTTTACTTTTAAAATAAAACCTGCCAGCAACATGTCATCTCATGATAAAATTCTATATCCTAACATATTATACCTAATTATTGTCATATTAAAAATAATTTAGAACTTATGACCAAGTTTGCAACGCCTTTACTGGGCTTCACATGTACCTACAATATTATGTTCTTGTCAACCCTTACCCATGTGACATGCAATAAATAATTTGAATTTGAAGTTTAGATAACAATTGGATATAATAAACCATAAACCTGGGTATCAAAAATATTGATAACAATAATAGGAAATACAAAGCATGCTACTAAGAAAGATTTACAATGTAGACTTGCTTAATTAATTACCTCTTTGGATCCTTTGGGAAAGTAGCTAGGAATATTTTAGATGTGTTTTTACCTGTTCTGGCTATGCCACAAACCTCACATCTCGGCTTTTTCACCATGTCTTACAGATTAACCTGTAATACACACTTGTACCTGTATAATTGTTTAAATATTACTGGACGGATATTTATTGATGAACGTGGGTCAACCGAAAACCTACTCCGGTCCCCGACATCTTCCTTGACCTTCAGGCTGTGCTTCAGACAGTTCAGACAACAAACAAAACAACTTACCTACTTTTATAAACGTTTCAAACTTACGTAGGTACCTTGCTACCTTGTTTTACAACCAAATCTATTGATTCATATTATTTCTGCTTTGCTATATCAACCGCAAGAAAAACGATTGTTTGTTGGATTATTTTTAAAGAACAACAAAAATCTCTAATCCATATCTGTGACAAAAATTCAACGACGAGCTCATCTGTGTGCGTCGTGCGAAAATAACAGTGTTGCCAGTCGGGTCTTGTCGGAAATTACCAAAAATTAAAAAAAAAGTAACCTTTTTGAATAAAAAGTAACCTTCATACGGGGGGGGGGGATTCGAAATTTTGACCATTCCATGAAGACTGAAAAGTGACCGGTCGTATAAAAACGTTTCATGGATTTGCGTTTTATTATCGAAAAACATTCGCTAAAACTCATTTTTTTTAACAATAATAATAAATCAAATTCATGTTTAAATGCAGTTTGACATAATTTTTAAATTGTCACTATTAATATTTTTTACTGAATAACCTGTAAAAATTAATTCGACAATTTCTGAAAAATCACCTAAAAGTAACCTTTTCATTAGTGTAACCTAAAAGTAACCAATGCAGTTCAAAAGTAACCTAAAAGGTTACAAAAGTAACCTTCTGGCAACACTGGAAAATAACCAACGTGCTTGTCGTGGTGCTTGGCAAATTTGGCAATTTGGCATAGAGAAAAGTATGGTGCTTGGTGTCATAGAGATGGGTGAATTCGATTAAATTGAATGATTTATGTGATTAATAAAACCTTAACCGATTACTCGTATTTGAAATCGCAATATTGGAAAGAAATATTAATTAATTACACTTGTCTCCATCCAGTCGAGCTGGGTTCGCCACTGATTGCCATAGAGAAAAAGTAATACTGATTGCTCTGTGACTGATCGATCGGGCACCCGCACCGACGCGACGATCGCCAAACGGCTAGACTTAGAGTACTTTCTCTACTCGCCACTCTGCCCAGTAAAGCTGGATATATAGCTTTTAAAGCTACCATCGCGCGTTCCTTAAAAAAAACCAGTCACGCTGTAAATTATTATTATTATAGTGCGACTCGTTTGGAAGATACTCCTATCAAAGTTAAATTGTTCAGACGACTCTTTACCTTCCTAATCGGTATTTTCATTAATATTTTGGGTATTTTATTTATTTAATGCAATAAAATTGATACATAAGGCGGACTTAATACCGTTGGGTATTCTCTATCAGTTAACCTTTCTGTTTCTGCCTAATTAATAAAGTTTTAAATTAATTGTTATTTTCTTTGTTTGTTATTTTGTGTTTTAATGAAATCTCTTGACTTGAAAGTTACATATTGTTAAAACCGTTGGGAAACAATAGAGAAAGAAGTAGTAACAACCCACCTTGATGGTATTTTTTTTTGTGAGTCACACTATCACACGTTACAGTCTTACAGTGGGACAGACAGTACAGATCATACGTCCAGCCAGCCAGCCAAATGACGTCCACTGCTGAACAAAGACCTCCTCAAGTATTTCCATAACGACCGGTCCTGCGCTGCCTGCATTCAGGTTCTTTCCGCGACCTTCACCAGACTAAAGGTCCACTTAGTGGGAGGCCTACCCAGCCAGATCATTTAGAGCAAAATAAATGCAATCAATATTTAATTATTATGTTTTCTTCTAAAAACACAATACCTACAATTAAATATTAATGCAGTCCGTTATTGAGACCAATTTTCGAATAATTATCACCAAACAAAGGAAGCAATTGAATATTCAATTGAATTTAGAGATAATCGTTCATCGTTCATCACTAGTAGTACTGCTGTCAACGTGCTGGCTGTCAATTTCTCTCATTTTTAACCCGCCCCAGTGTCTCCATGTACACGATAATTACCGTAGATGCACCGTAATCAGGTCATTTTCTACCGTCAAGGTAATAATGTATTACCGTGTCATAAATCACCGTATTAGAATTATGAATTACTTTGCTGTATTATATTCATGGTATAGATACATAATACATACAAACAACAGGCAACACTGCCGAGAGACCGAGGGGAATCCCACTATATTCTATGCTTAGAATTAATCTAAGATTCTATGTAGGTATGTATGTAATATTATGTCGATCTCTACCAACAAACATCGGCAATCTAGTCTCAACCTTATTTAAGCCAACTAACGACATGTTGTCAAAAATGAATAAATCTATTTACGAAAAAGATACTGTGGTGCTAGGAGAGTCTGATTCAGAATAATATTAATGTTAAATTGTATATTTCACGTGTTATTGCTTTTTTTATTAAAAATTTAAAAAAAAATGTGTTTTGTTTCATTTCTTAATAATATTGTATTTTTTCCTTTGATAAATTACACGGTAAATTACACGGTAAATTTTTAGTAGATTCACCGTAATTTGGTATAACNCCGCCCAGTACCACAAGGGTCGAAAAGACCCAGATTTTGAAAGTGTTAACTGAAGTAGTTTTGGGTTTATGTAGTTAAAGTACGGCCAACGAGAAGCGATACAAAAGGTCGATTCGACTTTCGAATTGACAATCTATCTATTCTGTCTCTTATCATCTTGTGTATTTGTCGTAATGTCTCGTTCTCCCGCCAAAATATGTCAAAGTCAAACCTGCCTGTGGTCAAACCCTTAGGCTGAGTTGCACCATCTTACTTTAACTTTGACAAACGTCAAAACTCTGTCAAATTCCATACAAAAAGCACCTCGTCATAGTGACCGTTAAAGATAGATGGTGCAAAAATGGTCAATTTTGCCTAATTTCCTTGGCACGAATTTTTTTTTAGTTTTTAACTATTTTTAGTTTCCCATTGCATTAAGTAGCAAAAACTAAGCTAATATATCTAAAAGGGGTGTCATAATTCGTTTTAGAAACAAAGTTATGAGGTCATGAATTTTTGGTAGCCAAGGAAATTATTATGAATATTTTTTTCTCTGAGTTTTCTTCTGTGATTTGCTTTTTTTTGTTCGACCCATTTTTGTGTTCTTTCGCAAGCAAACATACCAATGAATATTATATCATTACGACCTTGTTACACAATTATTAAGGAAGATAAATGCAGTAGATTGAGTTAAGAGTTAAAAACAAGTTTTTCTATATCTATTCTGATACCTATTTCTTAAAAATTAAATGTAAATTTTAAACTTATTCCAATAAAGAAATATGTACTCAAAATTTGACTTTACGCCGAATTAAAAATGGTCTTTTATAATTTCCTAGGCCATTTTATGCCACGGAAAACAAGGAAATTAGGGCCAAAGAAATTTGATTTATGCCTAAAAGACACCACAGACAAAAACCTATTTATCCTATGCATTTACTATTTAAATCATGGGTTTACCCCTACAGACACTACATTTGTGTAAATAAACAATAAAATTAATCCACTGTTTATCTGCAAAAAACCGTCCAAAGGAATTGACTTTTTTTTTAGTAAACAAAAACCTGTGCAAAAACCCAAGGAGGGACCTACTTTTGCGATTTGTCGCGAAACTGATCAACAACGACGTACTGTCCTGCCTCGATTCGATGGCCTCTTGGGACGAAATGGCCGAGTGTAGCGGTGCAGTGCGTTGCATTCTAAGTTTTTTCGTTTCGTTACTACAATGGTCGAAAAGAAGACCCAGGGGCCCAGGGAAATTATACTTTTGACTCGGACAAGAACTTAACTTCACTTTATTTCCTTCCTTTTAGTATTTGACATTTAATTTTTCTATTCTCCGAATTCAATTTAATAAAGATGTGCTTTTTACATAGAGTTATTAACCAACTCTATGGCTTTTTATTGCGTATTATTTTTTCAAGAAAAGTTTCATCACTACACTGTGCACGGTTTTATAGTTCATACTTTGTGATTTAAGTCTTAAATTAGTCCAATCTCTCTCATGATCTCAAATAAAAAAGCAAACAAGTGTTTTGAAACTTCTTTATTTCAGCAAAACTTATGATGCACATACACAATATTCAATCATTAATTTATATTGCTATTTTGAAACAATTCGGACGGAGATATCTACCTAATATAATTTGATTCATTTTAATTTTTCAATGTGATCAAAGAGTAGTCTCTCAAATCACTTAAAAAATTATATCAAATAACAGAAATGGTAGTAGGTATGTACCTATTGTGTTATATGTATAACACATTATATTCTTATAACCACAGTAAAATTTAATATTACGTGCATTGGTGAAACTAATTGAGAATTAATTATAAATAGTTTGTTAATTATGACTTAATTGATTATGTACAGTGTATAGTTTTGCCATTTATCAAATACATCAATATTCTTGACTATGGTATAGATAGAATATTACATTCCATTGGTTACATACAATGTTTTTAAATTACTCTTGTAATGCTCTTGTCAAAGAATTACCGTAATATTGTTAATATTTTTATGGGTCTTCTGAATTTTAGACTATGCATAGTTAATGTTCAATAGAACATGATTAATTTTATTACTTCAATACTAAAACTTGAATAAAACTCTTAAAAAGGATAAAACATTACTCGGAGCCAAAATATAACAATAATAACAATGTGATTATCCCATATTATTCTTAAACAACTACTTAAATATCTAATTTAAGGTTTTTAATATAACCTTAAGACCAGAGTTTGGACGGATTGAAAAATAATAATAACCTAAGTATTTCTAGTGTATAACATAAATAAACTGAATAAGAAGGTTTTTAGAGATTCCAAGGAGGCATAGGATAAGGCACAAGGTTAGGGTACACAAGGCAAGGCACATTACTTTCTGTATCACACTATACCAGAGGTATAAAAATTGAGAAAATTTTCACATTTATATATTTTATCTGAGATATCTCAATTATACATACTTACAAATAGTGAGAATCACCTTCCGAGTGCCAATTGACAGGAGAAGTGTAGTTATTTAAATTGTTTTCTTATTCAATTTTGTCCCGTTTATACAAGACTATGAATTAATAAAATATAATATGGAAACAGAAATGTTCATACCAAAATATGGTATAATAATTCTACTATGATATTTTTAAATGACGGACTTGCAACAAGTCTGGTGGGCTTTTTTAAATTAGATTTATAATACCAAGTGTATTTACAATACTTATCTAAAATAGATCAGTTTATCTTATAACTATATTGCAACTAATTAAATTTGTATCTACCTGTAATGTAAATAAGTCATAATTAAAATTGCGTGATTTTATACAACAAGCTTGACGTAACAATAAAATATAGTTTATACAACACTTTGTGCTGATCTATATACAATGTGTATAATTATGTTGTATACTAAATAAAATATGTAATAAGAACTTTGTTCATGTGCAAATAATTTTAAATAATTTGTAAAGAATAGTTCATAAAGTCAAATATAAAATATAATTGTGAGATATGTAGATATTCATAGTTATAAATGTACATTATCCTAGTTAAAAATCTGTCTTTTCAATATAAAAACATAGATATATGACTATGCTCTGGCATCAAAATTGCACTAGTCATCTTTTTAAAACTGTAATTAAACAAAAGTACAAGATCTGTCTCACAATACCAGTGTCAGAAATAAGTTAGAAATACCTAAAGGTTACGATTTTTAATTGGAAACAAAATGTTAACACAGTAAAAATAATAATTTGCCATTAATTGTAGAGTAACTCAATAATTCACATAAATGGTCACATTCTTTACATATTTTAACATTTATGATCACAAATAAAAAAAAAATCGTAACATTTTGTTAATTTTTAGGTAATTAAACCGTTTACAAATTCCTTCTATGGTTTGGCAGAATATTGGCTTTTATAAAACAAACATGTTTGTACTGATTGGCGATGAAACTGAAATACTTACACACATGGCAATCGTACTTTCATAAATATTTTGAATTTTATATGTATTTCAGTATCAGCGCATTGCGTACAAACTTGATCCAATTGCCTACATAACATAGGATTTCACCGCAGTAAAAAACTGTCCGTTCACCCACAGTAAACATACCAATAAAATTTTCATTGACGTTCAAACCATAAATGCTTCCAAAGTCTTCAAAACTTCTGCTTAATCACTGATTGTAACCAAGTTCAGTCCGCACTGATTTAGAGTCACTTTCACTGCACTATTACACTTCGGTGCTATGTGTTTGTATGCGCACTTTCTTTTGGCTGCCGTTTCTGTTGAGTGGGGGTGAGTGGCCCGAGTAACCAGGGTTGTGTATGCCGAGCCCCGGCTCACCCTCCCGGGGGCGTGGCTTCTTGAGCGACGAGCGGAGCGGCGAACGGGTTATGGTGCTGGCATCGGATAGACCAGTGAGCGTAGTCGCCGTCGTGTTAACTGAGCCCACGCTGCCGTGGCCGTTCGAACTGTACGGCTTGCCCGATGCGTCTGTCATCGATATCCCTGTAAGAAAATGAAGTTAAAAGTTAATATACTTTTCACTTTGATTTAATATCTACTGACAAAGGAATTACAAAGAGAACCCATGCGCGCTCCTTGGTTTGACGATATTAAACTAAGTAGAAGTTACGTCAAACTTGCACTACGCCTTCGTTCGGGACACTATCCATCGGCGAAGTTTGCATACCTAATGAAAAAATCTGATTCACCGAATTGCAGCACTTATTTAACAGAACAGTGACTCCTTTTATACTTAAATTTAGGTAAATCTACCTAAATAGTACCTATTTTGACTTGTTTCTAAGTTAAGTATAATATTATTATGTTGTTTGTAAGTGAAGATACAATGGGGCTGACATATCCATGTGGATAAAAGCCCCAAATCAAATAAAGAATAAAAAAAAAACCTTTTATATGAATGCCATTCAAAGTTGAATAATACGAGTAGGTTAAATAAGGACTGCTTGATTCTATGGCTACCAGTTACCAGATAAGTGCTTAGCACGGATCCGGACGCGACATATTTACGTTCGGATTTCGTCTGGAATCTCCATGGTCGGTTACTTTGGTTCTCCTAAGGATATTTCTGATTCGATCGCATGGTAAAATCCAAGCATAGGCAAGCTCCATCGCCCTTTGGGTGACCCTGGCAACACACATTGGTCCAAAAGACATTGCGGTGTTTTGAACGAGAAATTGAACATTGTCCTGCCGCGTTATATTCGACATTTGCCTCTATCGAAGTTGAATCTACAGGGTGTTAGGTAAATGGGTATATGAGCCGACACTAGCCCATGTAAACATGGTCATATAAATGGTATGGTGAAGTCAGAAAATCGATATCTTCATTTTAATTATTTAAATTTTCATACAAATCGGATTTTATAAAATTTATTTTGTATGAAAATTAAAATGATGATATCAAATATCTGACTTCACCATACCATTTATATGACCATGTTAACATGGGCTAGTGTCGGCTCATATACCCATTTACCTAACACCCTGTATAGGTCGCGCAGCGAGAGTTGCTCGCTGCACTGACATTTGCATATTTTGGTCAGGGTTTGGTAGTGTGTTCAATATGTGATCGCCTCAACTTTCGCTACGCTACCTATAGGCTGTATAGTTAACTGTTCAACTCACCTCTCCCTTCTTTGAAGCCGGGGTTGTTGATGGTGGTGCTGTGCGTCTCCCCCGTAGGATTGGTGGGATCGCCGCCCTCCCGTCGCGAGAATAACACGTCGTATAAAGACATTATGAACAGCAGCGAGTTGATTACTATACACACTATCTGCAACGTAAGAGATTGAAATTAAAGAAACACACCTAATATGCATTTAATTAAATAAATAACATTTTACAACTCAAGCCAACGACATAACTAAGAAGATATTGGAAAGTGGTCTTATGCCCGTTTCCACCATCAATCCCTAATTTTTAAGTGACCCCTATGAAAACAAAATTCCTGTTATGTCACTTAAAAATTAGGGATTGATGGTGAAAACGTGCATGATTCTGAAGGTAAGGACATTGCGAGGCTGCTCACGATATCTAAATATATAAAAGGAGAAACTGACTGACTGACTGACAGATCAACGCACAGCCTAAACGGCTAAACGTAGGAAATTGAAATTTGGAAGGGACGTAGCTTAGGTACCGTAGAGGTGCACTAAGAAAGGAATTCCCGAAATTCCCACGGGAACGGGAGTTAGCGGGAAAAAAACATTTGTATGAAAAAATCTAAACCGCGTACGAAGTCGCGGGCGGCCGCTAGTGATGTATATTTGTGGTGCATCAAACCTTGCCTCGCTATATCGATACGTACCTATACCTACACCATTATTATGATGATCATATCTCAGTGATACGCATGTATAGCCAAGATCTACAGCTTGGCCTCCAATGACAACCAGTGAAGGTTGATTAGTCTCGGGGGATAGCTGACTGTCTTGGAACCCGCAATGAATTTAATTAGCATATAGGAGGAATCCGTCCGTCGTTCGTCGTCAGCAAGCTGAAGTGGCAGTGGGCAGGGCACATAGTACGCAAAACTGACGGCCGATGAGGCAGCAAGGTTCTGGAATGGAGGCCGCGTACCGGAATACGCAGCGTGGGACGTCCACCCACAAGGTGGACCGACGACCTGATAAAGGTAGCAGGAAGGCGCTGGATGCAGGCCGCTACCAACCGTGCGATGTGGATGTCATTGGGGGAGGCCTATGTTCAGCAGTGGACGTCCTATGGCTGAAATGATGATGATAGGAGGAATTCCAAAATAATATCCACTTCCCTCCGTTGCGGAAGACTGATGACTGTAAAGGTTTTTAACCCTTTTAGGAATGAGATATAAGCAACGGATAAAGACAAAATTAAATGGGTTGACTATTTGTCAGTAAAAGGCGTGGAAAATCACCGGAAAGCACAGAAGTATAGATATGACAGTAAAAGTGTAATACCTGAACATAAAAAGCTTCGCCCCTCTTCAGATAGTAACCTCCGTCATCGCCTTGGACAGCAAACAGGCCTGCTGCTGCTATCGACAGCAATGCTGAAACATTATACATAATTTACTTTAGTATTAGTTCTACTTGTATACCAGCCATTGCGAAAACAAAAGGTACTAAAAATAATACTGTTTTTGACTTAGGTGACAAAATACAGAATCACTAGCCGACGAGTGAATGTTTGTTTTGAGTAGCTTTTTTACGACCAAAGGGTTACGGACCTCTGGTAATTGCAAAGGATAAAATAAAAGATAAAGCTTTGACAGCCCTGAGTTCATGTGGTGGTAGAAAAGGACCACTTTACGAAATCCACAGGAAGAGCACAATGGGTCCTCAAAAGGCGATTAGGGGATACTTATGTGAAGATTAGGTCTCTTCAAACTCCTGGTACCTGGCAAGCACCTGGATGCGTGCAGCGTTTCATTTCATAGTTTCATCATCATGAGGTGCGTGTATCTTCGACGAGATCATGGCCAGAACACAGAATGCGGGATTCCACTACTCTCCAGGCCCAGGGGGCTTGCTCCAGAGCGAGTCATAGCCTAGGGCTGAGATCGCCCATGTGCTGGACTGACCAGGTCAAAACCGCATTCAATGGTCCACTCCACGAGTGCACAAGAAAGGCTGCAGTGCGAGAGGAATGGCGACGGATTGTGAGGCTTGCCGGTCCTGGTGTGACGACTAAGACCACTCTGGCAAGAGTGTAGCGACGAAGAAGAAGAGAGGGTCACGTGCTCCTGCAGTGAAGACCTGATGATGTAAACGCTCCTTTGACGAGATCATGGCATGCAGCATGCGGGATTCACCACTNTTACTCGAGTTGACCATCACTAGATGCTTGCTTAAGTGAAGCAGCACAGCGTTGAATAGAGCTCTGTGATTGGTTCGTGTGTCACCCTGTGCGTCCACTGTGAGACCGCGCTACGCGCACTGTGAGACCTCATAGTAATGTTTGTGTATACGGGCGTTCGTATAATGTGTTGTCAACACACGAATGTTTTCAAAAATAAATTCTTAACATTATCATGTCTTGTAAACAAACATGTGAAAGTTTTTATCAGTTTCACATGATTTAAAATTCGATGTCATTCTTTANGATGATTGTAGGGGGGGGGGGGTCTAAAATCTGAAAAAATCGATGACGTAATTTATGGACGGCCCCTAGGGCTGGTGGCAAATCAAGTTACTTCCAGCAAATTAGGTCGCCTATGCGCTGGACTGACCAAGTCAAAACCGCACTCAATGGTCCACTCCACGAGTGCACAAGAAAGGCTGCAGTGCGGGAGGAATGGCGACGGATTGTGACGCTTGCCTTGTGCTTGACTTGGTGTGACGACCACGACCACTCTGGCAAGAGTGTAGCGACAAAGAAGAAGAGAGGGTCACGTGCTCCTGCAGTGAAGACCTGATGATGCAAACTCACCGGCGAGCAACGCCAGCGCCAGCTTCATCATCATGAGGTGCGTGTACTTGAAGCCGACGCGCTCCTTCGACGAGATCATGGCCAGAACACAGTTCGGATAGTATGCAGCATGTGAGATTCACCACTACCTCGAGGCCGATGGAGCTTGCTCCAGAGCGAGTGATAGCCTAGGGCTGGTGGCAAATCAATTTGCTTCCAGCAGATTAGGTTCAGACTGACCAGGTCAAAACCGCACTCAATGGTCCACTCCACGAGTGCACAAGAAAGGCTGCAGTGCGGGAGGAATGGCGACGGATTGTGAGGTTTGCCAAGTAGCGACGAAGAAGAAGAAGAGAGGGTCACGTGTTTCTGCAATGAAGACCTGATGATGCAAAACCGCCTCTGTGGTCTAGTGGTAAGACCACCTGCTTCAGACGCAGAGGTCCCGGATTCGATTCCCAGTGAGGGCAGATTTTTCTGTTCGGTTTGGTTGGTGGTAGGGCTTGTTCTAAGTCCGCCTGGCTAGCTACCAACATCTTACCTAAGTCTGTCGCCATAACAACAATGTTAACAGCATTGTTGTGTTCCGGCAGTTAGAGGTAACCAGTTCCTCCGTGGTTGAGGATTCCAGGTGAAGCTCGCTTCCACCTTCGGCCTGATCGTCACTTACTATCGGTGAGACAGCCCAAGAGCTTCCTCGTTGTGGATAAAAAAAAAACTCACCGGCGAGCAGTGCTAGCGCCAGCTTCATCATCATGAGGTGCGTGTACTTGAAGCCGACGCGCTCCTTCGACGAGATCATGGCCAGCTGAAGCACCGACAGTATACAGTAGACGCCCAGCACTGACACGCCTATGGCACCCACCACGCCAGCGATGTGGACTGCCGCTGGAAAAGAAAAGATTACATTTAGATTTTGACAGTCTACATTTCCAAAATTTCCAAAGTCTGACCACCAAAGTACCACAGGGGTGAGGAGAGATGTGTTTGAATACCAATCAGATTTCGTTATTTCCAATCACCTTTCTGCTCAGCTTCGGTCCGGAAATCTGATTGGGTATTCAAACAAGAGAAGATGTATTTTTATTTTCTTTGCTTTGGTGTAAACTGGGCCTCAGTAACAGTGAGGCATATGGCTCGTAGAACTGATGGCCTTTAAGGTAGTTAAGTTCTTGAGTCTTCCTACCACGGATCGATGGTTGTGGAAATCATTGAACGTCTTTTGAAAAGAACTAGCATCGGAGCAAAAAGGCATCTTCAGAAAGGATGCATTTCTTAGTTCAAGACCGACGTTATAATACCAAGTGTTCACCATCAGAATTTACGTTCATGAAATGTAAGCTGGTATGCAATACAACATAACAGTAGGTATACTTATGTACCTTATACACGTAGTTACGTAATTAAATGTTACATAGTGCACTGTTCACCTTGACTGCCATCAGCCACGTGCATCAATGCACTGATCAAGATCGTTCGTATCTAACAGTTAGCCGTATTATATCAGCCAGTTGTAATCTTATTATATCGCAGAGGATATGTGAGCAAAATCATTCATAACACCTCCAACCTGAGTTTAAATTGAGGTTAATTGAACTTGTTAGTACTCCAACTTATGTAACGTGATTTTTAACGCGTTCACGTCCTCATTAGAAAAAGAAATGTCGTGTATACGAAACTCGTGCATAAGTAATACTTAAATTCTGCGTAATATAACTTGGCAATTTTATTTAATTAATTTTATTGATGCTAATGATTATTATGGATGGATTGATGAATATGTTTGTAATGTAATGTTGTGGTGGAAATAAAGAATTTATTATTTACTAGCTTTCCGCCCGCGGCACCGCGCGCGTCGACCCCTGAATCCTATTTTTTTCCAAAATAAAATTTAGCCTATGTTACTCGTGAATAATGTAGCTTTCTAATGGTGAAATAATTTTTAAAAATGGTCCAGTATTTTTTGAGCCTATTCATTACAACTAAACAAACAAACAAACAAACAAACAAAGTTTTCCTCTTTATAATATTAGTGTAGATTTATGTTTGTTACTCCAACACGCTAATACTATTGAACGGATTTTTATAAGCACATAGGCAACTTTTTCAAAATCATGTGTAATGATGCAGGCCAAGAAGACCTGATTGTGGAAATAAATCGTGAACGAAGTCGCAGGTAAAAGCTAGCCGATATTGATTTCATTATGTTATGTTCTATTTGTTTGCAACACACAGACTTTAAATAAAACTAATATAATTTAATTTCAGAACTTGTCGCTTTCTTTCACAGCGATGCAGTAAACTAATCAAATTCATATAAATAAATAACATTATTCCGTTTCAATGAATTTGAAACCTGGGGTTTAGCACGCATGGATGAGCACAGAGGAAAAATCACCACACCGATAACAATTAGGCAATGAAATGAAATTTCACAAACCGCACCTTTCTTTTCCAACAATAGAAAAGTTTCACTGCAGTCCTTTTACGTTTCACCACACAATGCACTTGCACAATTTATGATGGATTTCAGAATTGAGTTCCTGTATGTATTTTATTAACTGCAGTTCTATTCACAAACAATACTATGAGGTCTCACAGTGCGCGTGCACGCACAGAGTGACACACGAACCAATCATAGAGCTCTATTCAACGCTGTGCATTCGATTTGATGCTTCACTTATGCAATNTATGCAAGCATCGTTTGTGACTACGGGCGTTAGATGCGGCTTTGTAGTGATAAAGTTTAAATTTACTGTGGACTGTACAACTGTCGGTTTGGACACCATATGACTGACTTTGTCACAAGCACATCACGCAACTTTCCTCGTAGCCTCTTACTCATTTCACAAACGACCACATACACCGAGGACTGTGGACGTGAGACACAAAAACCCCATTGTTTTAAACATTTAATGTAGTTTTTATTATGTTTTGTAATAGGCGCTTTAATAACGTTAATCGTGGTTAATGAGTCACATTCAATTACTTTTTAAGTGTTAATGTAGAGTTGCATTTAATTAATGATTTTCCCCATTTATTGTTATTAGTATTGCATTGTTCTTGCAAAAAAAAAATGTCTTCTGTCATCTGGCTATACTTCGGTTGAAGTGAAGAATGTTAATATTTTGAAGTTATTATGTAGGTATGTAGGTTGTAGAGTTGTAGACCCTATTTAATGCACTTAAAGATGTCCTAATATTGCTTTGCCTTGCCTGCAGGACACCATATCGGCTAGTGTTAAGAAGAAGTGGCGGAAGAAACTCAGTCACCTGGATAATCTCACTGATAGTCACTTGTTTCTATGGAAACCGTACTGAAAAGTTTTAAAAACATTTGCCAACGTTCTAAGTCTATGTACTCATGTAATTAGGCAGGATAATGCGGCATTTGCATATTTAGGTCGAATCCCAAGGCCTCACATGATTCGGGTCGCTTTGAGCTAATAGCTGTCTAGTTTGGCTAATGATTGCGTCATTACTAGTTACTACTCCAAAATAGTATGTTCACGTGACGTAAGTATTACACGATTTGACTTTTAAACTGCACCGGTTACAGTATTTGTCATTTTGCACTTTTTCGATACTATTTCTACCTCTTTCCTACCACTATCTCCTGTGAAGCTAGATTTTTTATCATAGTCATCATTAGGTCGTTTACGCCCGTATTCACCATCGATGCTTGCTTAAGTGAAGCAGCAAATCGAACGTACGTTCGTGTGTCACCCTGTGCGTCCACGCACACTATGAGACCTCATAGTAATGTTTGTGAATACGGGCGTTAGTCTCCACTGCAGAAGCATATTACCAGAGGCCAATGGAGGATTTGGCTTACGCTCTGGGGAGCGTACACATCTTGGGTGCTGTGTGTTGCCCCAGATGGATTATCACATTCTACTTCTTCTTTGGTCGCTTCTTATAANGTAGGTACATTCGATTCAGGAGCAGTTTACTGAATTTACCATGCATTCTTGTATAAAAAAGAAGCATATTACCAGAGGCCAATGGAGGATTTGGCCTACGCTCTAGGGAGCGTACACAGCATGGGTGCTGTGTGCTGACTCCAGATGGATTATCACATAGTACTTTTCCTTTGGTCACTTCTTTTAGCATGCATCTCTGAGAAGAGTGGGCCACAGGCTAGTTGAATGTCAACAAAACCCAACCTGTAAATGGTAAGTTAGTCGCAGAGTACCTAAATTTTCTAAAGAGACGTTATTTGTTTTATGGCCTATAAAAAGCTAACTTACAGTAGTTTATAATTATCTTAATTAACCTAAGATATTTGGCGATTGTTTATTCATAAGCTAAAGCCTGTGAAATTGTTTTCTCAAAAAATTAAAAGATTTTTACAACACTTCTCACGCTAAAAAGCGAAAACGAAAGTTTCTCACTTGCTAAGGAACTCTAAACGCGACAATAGATGGACATTATAAAACAACTATCACGCTATAATACAATGCAAATGGCTTGGCATTGAAAGATGCATGCACTCTGCAATTATTAATAATTGTAGTTCCAAGTATGCCAAAGTAAGCAGAGCTTATACTCTTAAGACTAGATAACAAATTAACATTGTGGCTAAGTTGCACCACCTAACTTTAACGATAAGTTAATAGAATACTTCATATTATTACACGTAATGAATTGATTTATAGAATTAATGTAGGTATGTAACTACTAGTAATATTATAAGTACCTTTGCTAATTTATGACTCACCATGTCATGATGAACTAACTGACAGCTGAGGTTAACAATTAATTAACAATAAAACGACCCTGCACAAGGTGAATTTTATTAAAAACAGTTTTGCCAATTATTATCACTGTTAATTTATTAATACAATGTGCGCATTCTAATGTTTCATGCAATAAATGTCACTTATATAAGACTAGCTTTCCGCCCTCGGCTTCGCCCGCGTGGAATTTTGTCTGTCACAGAAAAACTTTATCGCGCGCGTCCCTGTTTCAAACACCGGGATAAAAACTATCCTATGTCCTTTCCCGGGACTCAAACTATCTCTATGCCAAACATCAAGATCGGTTCAGTGGTTTAGGCGTGAAAGCGAGACAGACAGACAGAGTTACTTTCGCATTTATAATATTAGTAGATTTTAATTTACTATTTTAGTTTAAATGTCACTTAATCCGTCATAATATTATTAATACAGATGTAACGTTTTATCGTCATACGTGTATCATCATCATCATAAGCCGGGCTAGGATGCGCGCCGTGATAAAATCATATCGATGACTTTAGACGACAAACGTATGGGCTTATCGCGTATCTAAGTATACTAATATTATAAAACTGAAGAGTTTGTTTGTTTGTTTACTTGAACGCGTTAATCTCCGGAACTACTGGTCCGGTTTGAAAAAATCTTTCAGTGTTAGATAGCCCATTTATCGAGGAAGGCTATAGGCTATACAACATCACGCTACGATCAATAGGAGCAGAGCAACAATGAAAAATGTTGCGAAAACGGGTCTTCACGCGTACGAAGTCGCGGGCACAGCTAGTAATCTGTAAAATGGGGCGATAAAAGCTTATCGCGGCGCGCATTGTAGGCTTACAGGCTACTGGAGGAGCAGGAGTTTCTTTAATTACCCAGAGACAAACGGAAAACTTAGCCCACACTCATGGGGAGTGTCCAGACGGGATGAGAATGCCTGATCTTCGCATTACGTCTCTCAATTCCCTTTTATGACATCTAGGGGAAACTAAGACTAATGTTTGTGTATACGGGCGTTAGTCTAATGTGTTGTCAACATACGAATGTTTTCAAAAATTAATTCATAACATTATTATGTCTTGTAAACAAACAAACATGTGAAAGTTTTTATCAGTTTCACATGATTTAAAATTCGATGTCATTCTTTATTAATTTC